ATAATAATAAAAGAGAATGAGTAAGAAAATAAAGAATTATTAAAAGAAAAATATTAATAATCTAAATTTGTAATTATGATACATATAATAATCATCTGAGTAATAATATGCTAAATCTAGATGTATTTAATACATAATAATTATCTGTATATTCAGAGTGAAAATGATCTTCTTGAAAATATAATATAAAGCTAATCTGTTATACAAATAATGCAAAATAAAGAATTAAACTAAAAGAGATCTAAAGGAAGATAATCCAATCAAAATTTTTATATCTCCTCTGTAATTTTCAAATAATTATATACATGACACTATAATTTTGCATGTATATAGTATAGTTCAAAATATAGATCATATTTGTATTTTAGAGAATTATATATTAATAAAAAATGAAAATTCCATTACACTTGAAAAAAAACTAAAAAGATATCTTTAAATTTAAGTTAATGATATAAAATTATCTTTTTATATATTCATCCAAAAGATCTCAAGCTATCAATATATAAGATAACTAAAATAGTTTGCTATAATAAAAAAATAGTTCATTATTAGATTCAAAAATGGGAAGACTTGAGTGACAAATCAAAGACAGATTAATAAAGAGTAATCACCTAATAATAAGACAAGCAGATAGTAATACTTGCAAAAAAAATTAATATAATGGCTCTAGAAATTTAAAAGAAGATAATTAAGCAGAATATTGATATTAGTATACATACTGTATAATATTATTTTCATAAAGAGAAAGATAAATATATGAATAAGCTTTCAAAATCTCTTCTTACAGAGAAATATTAACAAAAATGGCTAGAATAGGTAAAAAAATATAGGAACTTTGACTAGAACAAGATGATTTTTTCAGATAAAAGTATCTTTTGTCTAAATCAAGATATAAAATAGGCTTGGCAATTTTCTAAAAGAAGAAAGATAAGTTATTCTGTAAAGCATTCTCTAAAAATCTATGTATGAGAATATTTTTTATTTATAAGCTTTGGCAAGCTGGTTTGCTTTATGAGAAATCTCAATATTAATTTCCTGCTAAATATATATAAAATAGATCTTTTACCATTTGTTGATGAACTTTTTGGTTAGAAAAATGATCAGTGAATTCTTTAAGAAGATAATAATTCCAAGTATCATTCAAAAATTGCAAAGATATGAAAGAAGAAAATGAATATAAAGATTCTTTCATGATTATCAATATCTTCTGATCAAAATCTGATTGAAAATATCTGGAAAATTATGAAAAATAACCTGGTAAAAAAAATTAGAACTGTTAAGAGTTTGAAGAGGAAATTACAAAAAGAATAACATTATTTATCTAAAGAATATATAATCTGATTAGTTTCAAGTGTAAGAAAGCATATAGAAGCTTTAATTAAGACTGAGAATGATTATATCATATACTAATCTTATTATATAAAATTAGAGCTTTTAAATAAAAAAAGATTTTTTGTTTATCTTATCTTCTCATTGATCTAGAATAGAGAGAATACTTTTGATGAATACTATATTTAATAAATTCCAGTTAAAAGAATCTTTATTTCAAAATTTTATTAAGTATATCTTGTACTATTAGTAGTAAATCTTATTCAAATATTCTAAAGAATATATATATAAAATTTCATATTTTTTGAATACTTTATTATTAAAATATAAATGAAATATTCATTACTAATCTTTTTATCAGAGACTATATTATTCTTAAGTAAGTTTATTTTCAGTAAAATTCTGATAAATTTAATAAATTTTCATTATATAATAAAGAAAAATATAATTAAAATTATATTTTCATATTTTTATAGAATTTTAATATATAAATTACATAATAAAATTTTTCTAATTGCTTTTAAATTAATTTGATATAAAAAATTACCAATATTATTTAGTAAATAATCTTAAGTAAGCTTTTTTACTTGATATCAATGAATATATATAAAAGTTTTATATTTTTAAATAAGTTTTTTTGTTCCTGACTGTATATGAAATTTTAGTATTAAAAATTCTAGAATATTAAACTAATAATAATATAATAGAATATATTTATTATTGAATAACTTGTCATATAGAAACAAGATTCTCAGAATCACATCCAATATAACACAAGGTATTTTTTCTAAATAAGAAATTTATTTAAAATAAAATAAATGATCCTTAGCATTTTATTATTGGTAACTTACATTACGGTATTAGTTCTTATTGATTCAATATATATAAAAGAGAATCCTTTTTTAAATTACTCATAAAAATATAATATCAAAACTTTGTCATTGAATCATGAATTCAAATCACGAGTGACATGGTCCGAATCATGTTGTCCATGAAGCTGCTTTTCGTGGACATACTTCAGGATTTTATATTATAAGTTGAAGAAAAGAAGCGAAATTTAGGATCTTTTTAATTAATAATTTTATATGAAAATTTTGATTTTCTTTAAATATAATCACCCGAATTACACTCAATCCATTGAGATGCTTTTGTCTTTTACATGTATAAATGTTTATTCTTTTTTTCGAGCTTGTAATGTTAAAATATGACTAGTCTGTATTGTTCTAGTTTTATCAAGACCATTTTAAACTACATAGAAACCAATGTCATCTGAATTCTAAAATTTAAATTAAATCTATACCAATGACTCTATAATGTATCAAAAATCCACTATATCGAGTTTTTGAAAATTTACTAGTAAATTTACTATATCAAGTTAAATTTTATCAATGGCAGTTTTGGATGTTATCCACTATATCGTGAGTTTAGTTAAACTCAACTATACTATAAAGAGAGTTACTATGTATATAAGGGCTATAATTAAAAAGCGTTAAATTAAATTACATGCTTTTATTAAATTTTTTAAATAATAAAAAGTTTGCATTATATATGTTAGAATAGCATGAGCATAATATGGTATTAAATTAATGTTGCAAGCACTTCTCGTGAATCGAATTCAATTCCGTTAATATTTCTTACGACTTCTTCGAACCACCATTTTTCTTCGTTCCATGTGGAAATTGTGGTGGTGAGGTTAGGGTCAATGAATGAACCAGTTGAGGCTCTTCTCAAATCTTGATGATCTTCGTCCTCATCTGAGTTTGACAATTCGGCGTCATCAATATGAGTACATGTACTATTATTATCATCTTCATTATTATCTAGATCATTTGATTCTAATCCATCTTCAGATGAATTTTTTCTTAAAATTTCCTCGACTTTTACACTATCATCTTCTTTTGAGAATTGACTTGATACTTCATCCATCACAATAACTTCATCCATCACAATAACTTCTTCGACCACTTCCTGTTGCGCAAACACCATGAATTCCAATCCATTCATAGGAGTTTTATCATTATTTGTCGATAAAGAGTCGAGTCTTGATCTGGCACCAACTTGATCAATGCGATGTAATGCTTTATATACAACCTCACCTACCTCTTCACCCACTTTTCGACGCCATGATTGTTGTTTATATTTCGATGTTTGATAAACAACGTCTTGATAAGTGTGAAACATTGGATAAGGAATGAATGTAACATCAGGAGATAAATTTGGTCGTTGCCCATGTGATAAGACAAGTGTAAAAAGGATTAATTCCGCGGTGCCTTTTGACTCGCCAATGCTTCCTCCTGTTTGTGGAATACGGATCTCAGATATTTGTGGGAATAATAAAGCGTTTTTGAATGTTTTCTTATTGCCAACTTTTGAAATAAGTTGATTTAAAGATTGCAAAAATTCAAGATTAAAATTCTTTAACTCGGGCAACGATAGATAATCATCGATGAAGGTCAAGTTCTTTTTCCTTGCTAGATCATCGATTGAACTTTCGCGAGATACTATTGTACTAGTCGCTCTTGATGAAAATGCGACTTTTGTTGGACTAGCTTCAGGGCTTAATAGTGAAGTTTCTCTAATTGGAGAACTCGGTGGTATTAGATCGTCGAAATTTGAGAACAGCGCACCATTCGTTTCCTTCGAAAATTCTTGACCTAATCGCGTGTTAATTTCCGGAAAAGTTGCGCCCGAAATACGATTTATATAATTTTTTTCAGTATCCTTTAATTTTTTGAAACTTGATAGTCGCGCTATCGGAATTTGATGACGAGCATTAGTAGAAACTAACACTTGAAGTCCTTTAACACGTGGTTGTAGAACAAGTAAGCCCGTATACACAGAATCTACTTCTAACTGTGGCTTCTGACCATCATTAGCATATATTCGCATTGAATCAAGATAATCAAACATAGTATCATTATCAACTCGAATATTGGCGGCCATTAACGGAGCGACAAGATGAGGCTCAACAAATCGATATCCTAATCTATGAAAGTGATCTTCTGAATTCTCTGCGATCTTTTGAACTAAAAACAACATTTGTCCTTTACCCAAAAATTCGATATTTTGTTTATTTAACTTATTTTTCTCGAGATCAAAAGAAATATCAGAGTTTTTCGAGGCTACATATGACATTTGTTGCGAGTATTCTAAGTTTCCCGTATTCAGAATACTGTCGTATAAAATGCCTGATTGGTCTAATGGAATTTCTAAGGATTCGGCGAGCAGCTTTGCATTTACTATGAATTTTTCACGGAAAAGTATAGAATACGGCACTTTGCCGATGTTTGTCTCGTGGTTATCGATAGCTTCAATGTGTCTATCAATTGTGGGTAACCTATTGGTAAGGATTTATTAATTATTGTTATATTGTGTTGATGACCTTTTGAAATCAAATGTATCTTACCATTGATCGAGGCTTTTCCAGTCATGAGTTAAACGATAAAGCCATTGGAAAATTGGATGAGAGATTGTGAATTCGTCTTCCAAATTCTACGAATTAATTCATGATAAAACATAAAAAATTATTATTAAAAAATAAAATGCAGTCAAAATGCTTATATGAAGCACAAGCTTACTTGTTGACGATATTCATTTGTGATTTTTCGGAAAGGAATAAATCCTTCATTTGACACCAAGATTGAGCCTTTTTCATTATAAATTGCTATTCCCAACACAACTTTCTGAGCATGGCGTTTTGTCTTTAGATCAGCCGCTCGTGCAATAAAAGTTATGCTAATAAGAATAACAATCGAAATAATTGAAGTCATCGAAATAACTAAAGAAGATGTTAATTGTTAAACCGACGAGCTTGATCAACCGCAAACGACTTTGTTTACTTACTTGCAAAAATTAAATTGGTTGGTATTTCAGACTGCATTGTCACTTCGGCTTTTAAGTAGTATTGAGTTCCTGCAGAGGTTATGTAATGCATTCCAGTGATTGCTATTGCCATAATCGACGCGCATCCTAATCGCTATCGTATCGATATTAAACTAAATTTAATTTTATTTTTAACAAATTCATGTTCATCTAAAATTACCTTGTACCAGTCACTTCGCCATTTTGCCCTCATAACAAAAAAGAGGTATAGACCAGCATTTGACGCAACCACTGCTATGACAATAGCAGCAATGAATAATCCAATGTTATATTGAACGTTATATGGAATAATCGCCAGTTGACCGCAGAAATGCATTAATCCTATACAAGAAATTAAATTTTATTATTAGAAGACATTATATTTAAAGTAAAATACATAAAATTCGATCTGCCAATATGATCTATCGTTTTGACGATCAAGTTTTGTATTTTACTTCCAAGTTTTATCGAATTAAAATATATAATCTATTGATGAGTTTAACTGTCTTTCCTCATAGAAAAAGACCACCCGAGCGATTTATGCAACAAATACAGGTAATTGTCCTTACCAAAATTTAGGCCAAAGATTGTGCCGCCTATTAAAATTCGACAAAGATTTAATTTTGGTTGTGAACCTATTGCACAAAAAGCCAAACACGAGACTACAATAGGAAGAACAAGTGATAAAATAGTAAAACTAAAAAATTAAAGACATTAATCACCAATTATTTTAATAAAAAGTAATTACACAAAATTCCATACCAAAGCTTACCCAGAATCATATGTAATTTCCTTCAACGGATCTCCGTCATTAAGAATCAATGCCTTCATGCTAATAAAATGGGTTGCCCATATTCCGACGGAGCCCATCGAGAAAGCTGCACCAAGTAACAGCAACCAATTCATTGCACCCACATGCGAGGTACGTCTCCCCAGTAGTTCTAGAGCAGTGCAGGCGCCTAAAACTGATACAAAAAAAGAAAGAACGACTATTCCAGGATCTGTTCTTTGATTTATCTCTGCGGAATTTGTTGATGTTGAATTCATTTGAATTATTTTTAATTTTTATTAAAAGAAAATTTAAGGGTTTCAAAAAAGAAAGAAATTCTATAAATAAAAAGGAGAGTAGACAAAAGAATGTAACTTTTAATTAGTTGGATTTATGACATTCGTATGAGTAGGGGAATTAGGATAAGGTTTTTATGTAATGTTGTATAATAAACCCAAGAAAAAAAATATTTTCACGATAAAAAAAGGCAAAGGGAAAAGGAAACAAACCTGTAATATGGTCGAAAGTAGCTATACATGTTGACGTCTTTATACATGTATACGGCGCTGAAAAACGCAGAAAATGTAACATCACTTTTTATTAAAAATTTTGCCATCAGTCATAATGTTACGGGGAACCTTGTTATTGCCGAAAAGATTCACTTGATCCTTATTAAATGTATATTCTATATTGAAATGAGCGTGCGAACATAATCTTATCTTTTTTACGATTGGTGTTTTATTTCTAGTCACACAAATGTGGTATCTTCCATTCAAATGCATACTTATAACCATAAAATAATGTGTAGTGTTGATCGCCAATAATTAACTATTTCTATTTCCGCGTAATAGGATCGTTAAATGCGAAATCGATGCTGTTGTGAAACAAATACATAACATCTTGGTTTTTCCGACTTTTATCATCGTTACCAATAAACGCAAAAGTACGTTTGAATCGCTATTGGTTTATTTACACTATTACATCAGCTATGCTATTAAGCATAAAACCCTACATGTGATGTTTGTTTTTACACAGAGTTTTAATCTAAATTCCATTGAGAAAAGCATGGGTTTTATTGCTAAAAATACGCTTTCTCCGTTCAAAATTGATTGAAAATATACCAATTACATCATTGTGACAGCTGAAAAATATATGGAACATAAACAATAATCAGAATAATTCATTTTTTGATATTACAACCAATATAAAAGAATTATATGACAGTTTATCCCTGTATGAAGATGATTTATCAATTCAAACTGAAGTAATTGTATTACCTTGAATAATTACGTACACGTTTAAATAAGCAATACACACATTGATGAGGTAACCTTTTTGTATTCACAATTTCGTACTGATTGCTGAAATATGTACCATAAAAACATGTCATTTCATTAAGTGGACAACACAAAAAACAAGTTTTAAAAAAATAAAAATATAAGATAGAAAGGAGCAATTAAAGAAAGTCAAGTATTTTATTCATTAGAAAAAAAAAGCATCAAAGATATAGTCAAATTAAAGATCAATTTCTACCAGAAAGTAAAAGTAATAAAGAAGAGCTTTTCGAATCTTTCATGAAGAAAAAGTTATTAATCATATTTCTATTACAAATAATAATTCTTCTCTATATACTTATTTCATTTCAAAACTGGCCAAAAATTTTTATTTGAACATTTAATTTCTTAATGATATTGTTATTTAAATCAAATATTTTTAAGAATGTAATAGAAAATATTATAACAAATAATATTAATAGAAGAAAAATTAGATCAAATAAATTATCATTTAAAATTAATAACATGAAAATACTAATAAAGTGGAAATACAGTCGAACCTCTCTATAGTCACCCTCTTTATAGTCACAAACTCTATATAGTCACATTTTTTCAATAACCAACTTTTTTTATTATTAAATTACTCTTTTTATAGGCACAATTGGCCTATAGTCACTATCATACTTTTTTAATAATAAGCATAATAAAATGACCCTTATATAGTCACATTGTCACATAAATTTTTGATTAATCAATAATATTTAGTCACGTATAATTAATCAATCAATCAATCATGGCTTATTAAATTAATCAATCAATCACCTACTTTAAATATATCAATCAATCTTTATTCCTTATTCTTTACTTATGCTTTTTCATGGTGCAATCCACACGTATATATATAAGTCTCATACTTACACTGCTCTTTCTAAAACCCTGGCCGATGAAAACTTATTTCTTGATCAATGAAAATCTATCATGATAAAGACACATGAAAACCTATTTTCCAACAAGCTCATGACAAATAAAGACACTTTTCTAATTCCTAACTAATAAAATAATTCTCTTATGGTGATAATGATAAGATTTCCTCATACCAACCAATCAGCATTTGTATTATGACAAGCCAAAAACTCACATTTTATGATTATTCTTTGCAATTATACCTCCTCAACCCATATCTAAAAAAATATGTAGTCATATCAGTGATGCCCAAAAAAAAGAGATATGCAAGTTTATTAAGAAAAATCTCTTCTATAAATATCACAAAATAACAAATAAGTTTATGAACTGTTATCTAACTTTAAATATCGATCACTTAACCGTGTCAAAAGTATTAAAAAAAGCTAACCAGTATTGTTAACTTGATAATGTATAAGCTAAAATAACTTTCTGCCATCATTTTGTAAAGTATCTAATATTAGAACTTGCCATGAATATATGAGTAGAATGGGTTATGGCTGGAGGAGTAATCATATCAGACTCATTGGTGAAGGAAAAAGGCCATTATTTTGCACAAGAACTTGCTATACCTGAGGAGTCTCTTATATTTTCGAATAGGTGGATTACTAGATTTAAAAGACATAATGGGTTAAGAAAAATCACAATGCATGGTGAAGTGACAAGTACTCTCTTAGAAAATCTATCTGCAGAATGTATAAAATTGCAAGAACTTCTTTTTCATTATAATCCAGAAGATATTTATAATACTGATGAAATGGATTGATTCTACTAATTACTTCCAAATTAAACACTTTCTAAAAAACTGATACCTAGAAAAAAGAAGGTAAGTTAAAAAAAATGATTTAGCTAATTAGCTAATTTAAATGATTTAATATCTTTTTTTAAGATAAAACAAGATTAACCATCCTACTTTGTGCTAATTCAACTGGTTCTCATAAGCTTCATCTGCTTGTTATTGGTTCTGCTAAGAAATCACGATTCTTTAATAGGATAAATTCATTATAATTACCCATGATATACTGAAGTAACCAAAAAGTATGGATGAGAAGTGATATTTGAGAGTAATGGTTATATTATATCGATTCTGGTTTTCACATCCAAAATAAGCAAGTCTTGCTTCTTGTCAATAATGCAGCTTCTCACACAGCTCCAGAAGCAAGTAAAGTTCAAGATGATACTGATAAACTACCACTTGACAATACCAATTCTGATGCTAACAATGACTCCAGCAATATTGAAAGATCTCAAGGAAGACCATGAGAAAGACCATGGGGAAGATCACAAAGAAGATCATAAGAAAGACTTAATTCCACTCATTCTGACTGATTAAGACAAACTCCAAACCATTTTCATCTCACAAATATCAATGTACATTTTCTCTTACTAAATATGACTATTCACCTTCAACCTATGAATGCTGGCATTATAAAAAGCTTCAAGACAAAATATAAAAACTTATATTATCATCATTTGATAGCCTAATTTGAGAAAAATGAGGATCTAAAAAGGTAAGAATTAATTTTATCATTATTATTTAAAAGATACTAACCATTTATAATAAATATTACAGAAAACTTACCCCAAAAGAAGCTATTGACTTTATCACCAATGTGTGACAAGAAATTAGTGATACTACCATAAAGAATTACTGGCAAACTACTAGAATTTTATCAGAAACAAGCAGGCTGGAAGAAAGTGAACTTGAAGCTGATATCTTAGAGATCAATGATGCTATAATACTAGTTAATGATCTTTTGATGAATACTAATCTGGTGGTCCAACAATTAGCACAAGATATTGAAGAATACATTCACATAATTGATCAACCAATTAAAACTGAAAATGGATTAAATGATAAAGGCATAATTGAAATGGTAAAAGCCAAGTTTTACAATAATAATAAAATAGATGATGACAAGCCACTTCCACTACCTTCAGTAACTATTACCAAAGCTATTAAGATATTAAAAAAAGTGATAAGATATCAAGAAAGTCTTGAAATGGGAAAGGAATTTGATGAGAAAGAACTAATGATGCTGTAAAAAAAACTTAGAGAATGGGATTATGAAAAGCAAGAAGCTAAGAAGCAAGTTTCACTCATGTTTTTTATAAAAAAATAGATCAATTTTTAAATTAACTTTGAATCATTAAAAAGCCTAATTGATTGATTGATTAAATTGACTTTAAAGCTTGATTGATTGATGTAAGTAATTAGTCTTTAAGATTCTGATTAATATATATGATTGACTTTGAATAATTGATTTTATTAGTTGAATTATTTCTAATAAATCTCTATATAGTCACTAATTATCTTTTTTAATATAACTGTGACTATAAAGAGAATATCCCTATATAAGTTACACCTCTTTATAGTTACCATTTTTTGTATCCTGAAGGTGTGACTATAGAGAGGTTTGACTGTAACATAATTATGTTATTTCTACTTAGTTTAGATTATAACCACTTCAGTATGTGTCATATATCAACTATTTTTATATTCTGATTTTATTAGTTAATTGGTTAAAGATATTTCAAAGTTATCTGTCTTTTCAAGAACTAAAAGAATATTATTAATAAGATAGATTTGTTATTCAATTATAATTTTTATGTTAAATATAAAAGTATTTAATAACTTAATAATTAATTAAATATAAAATTTTATTGTATTATATTATCAAATAATTCTTGTAATAATCTATTATGAGAAATCACATAATAGTTTTGAGTTTAGATAAGAAAATTTACAAATCTTCTATTTGAGTTCTGATTAGCAGGAAAATAATAAGAATAATAGTTGTATAGTTTAATATGAGATGAGAATTTTCAAGAATTATCTTAATTATATTCACTAAGATATAAATTAATTGGAAGTTTAATAAAAGAATAATATATACTCATAAACTAATTAATTATTTAGATATCAAATATTCTAAGAGTAGCTAATTCTTAAAATAATAAAT